ATGTCTTTCCTTCTGCTTGTTTTGCTCTTCTTTTTCTAGGTGCTTGGGGTGGGAGCTTAGATTATTGATTTGAGACTTTTTTTCTTTTTTAATGTATGCATTTAGTGCTATAAATTTCCCTCTTAGCCCTGCTTTAACTGTGTCGCACAAATTTTGTTATGTTGTGCTTTTATTTTCCTTCAGTTCAGTGTATTTTTAAATTTCTTTTGAGACTTCCTCTTTGACTCAGGGATTGTTTAGCCCTCTCTTGCCTAGTTTCCAAGTGTTTGGGATTTTCCTGTTATCTTTCTGTTTTTGATTTCTAATTTGATTCCATTGAGGTCAGAGAACACACTGTGTCTGATTTCACTTCTTTGAATTTGTTATGGTTTTTTTTCTGTGGCCCAGGATATGGTCTTATTGGTGTATATTTTTTGACTGCTTGAAGAGAATGTGCATTCTGCTATTGTTAGTGCAGTGCGCTACAGATGTCCATTACATCCTGTTGGTTGATGGTATTGTTGAATTCTTCTATATCCCCTGTTGCTTTTCTCTCTAGTTATTCTATCAATTCTTGAGAAAGGGGTGTTGAAATCTCCAACTATAATTGTGGATTTGTCTCTTTTCAGTTCTATCAGTTTTTGCTTTGCATATGTAACAGCTTTGTTGTTTGCATACACATTAGGATTGCTGTATCCTCTTGGTGGATTGACCCTGTTGGTCCAAACTTACTTCTTTTATCATTTTCTTTGTACTTAGACTTCCATTACCCGTTCTGTTAGGGTAGGTGTGCTGGTAACAAATTCTCTTAGTTTTCCTTCTTCTGAGAATGCCTTGATTTCTTTCACTTTCATTTCTGAAGAATATTTTCACTGGGCATAGGATTCTGGGTTGACAGTTCTGTTTTTTCGGCCCTTGAAAAATGTTGTGCCACTCCCTTTTGGCTTCCATGATTTGTGATGAAAAACCCGCTGTCATTTTAAATGTTTTCCCCCTATTGGTATTGTTTTTTTCTCTCTGGCTGCTTTCAAGATTTTTTCTCTTTAGTGTTCAAATGTTTTATTATTTGGAGAGTATTTCTTTAAGGTTTGTCCTGTTTGGGGTTCACTTAACCTCTTGAGTCTATAGGATTATATCTTTTACCAAATTTGTGTAGTTTTCAGCCATTACTTTTTTGGTTCTGCCCTTTTACCCTGTCTTTTTGGAAGTCTGACGACAGAATCTTCTAGTCCCACAGGTTCTGAGGCTCTGTTCATATATTTTTTCTTAAGTCTGTTTTCTCTGTTGTTCAGATTGGATGATTTCTATCTTCCAGTTCACTGATTCTTTCTTTTGTTCCCTCCATTCTGCTGTTGAGCCCATTCATTGAGTTTTTAAAATTTCAGTTCTAGAATTTCCATTTGGTTCTTCTTTGTAACTTCCATTTCTTTTATTAGACCTTTTAATTTTTCATTTGTTTCAAGCATATTTGTAATTGCTTACTGAAGCATTTTTATGATGTCTGCTTTAAAACCTTTGTCATATTATCCTAACTTTTCTGTCATCTTGGTTTTGGCATGAGTTGATAGTCTTTTTTTGTTCAGGTTGAGATCTTCCTAGTTCTTGGTATGCCAAGTGATTTTCAGTTGAAACCTAGACATTTAGGTATTACGTTCTGAGATTGGATCTTATTTAAATCTCCTGTTTTAGTGACTTTCTCTGACACCACTCTGACAGAGGAAGGGAGGGAGGGCCACTGACTTGTTACTACCCGGTGGGGGTAGAAGTTCAGATTCCTTATGACACCTTGTTGACACCTGAGGTGGGGGTAGGCGTTCTGACTCCCCACTAGGCCTCCATGGGATACCTCCCTGTTTGAGAGGGATAAGAGTGCCTCATTGCTGCTGCCCATGTGTCTTCTGCAGATACTGGAGTGGAGGTGGGGGTTGGAAGTCCAGAGGAAGGCCAACTGTCAGGAAGGGCCAAGGGCAGCAGGCTGGACCCCACAGACACCAGCTGAAGCTGGTTCCAGGCAGTGGTCAGGAGAGAGGATCCAGGGGAAGGGAGAGCAGTTGTAGACTTGGCTGCAGTTCAGAGTCTCTGGGCTCAGGGAAGGCCAGGTCCTCCTAGAAGGCTTCTAACTGACTAAGTCAGGCCCACCTATGAAAATCTTCCTTTTGATTAACTTAAGGTCAACTGATTATGGGATTTAATTATATCTGCAAAGTGTATAACCTTCAAAATGGTCACTGCCCTGTTCTGTTCTCTAACTCGAAGGAGAAAATATCCCTTGTGGCCCAGTGTAACCAGAAGCATACTAGAAAGGACGTTCTGGGGACTGTAGTTCAGACTGGCCAAGCTGACACATCACAAAGCCATCTCAAGAACACATTGTCTCCACTACCCAAAGAGTCCAACAAGGTGCTAGGCTTTCTTTTTGGTGACAGAATGCTGAAGAGACAGCTGTTGTTCGTTGATGGCTAAAGGAATCTACCCACATAATCCCAAAAAACTTACTTGGCAAGTAGACCCCTGGATTCTGCTGGTGAAGGTGTGGTAACAGCACAGTCAGGACCATTGAGACTGAGGTTTACTTACTCCCCCACACCCACCACTTGGACAAGAACTTTTGCTACTGGATCTCAGGGAATCTTCTTATATCCCCTAAGCCCGTGGGACCTTTGTCTTTTCTGTTCCGGAAAGCCATGTCTCTGCCAGTATCCCATTCTTGTCACCAACAACTGTCAAGAACTGTGAAGAGTCTGAGATTTTATCTTACTTCATTGAAAGCTGACAAGTCAGCCTGTGACAGTTTACTGGACTCTGGCAAAAGACGTGGGACTCCGGTGTCAGAGACAAAGGACTGTATTACAGCACAGCCAACAGCATGAGTTTCATGTTTGTGTCAATTCCTCTTGCCCCATAAGTGCCACAGGGGCAATGCAGAGTGACCCAGATGGATGCTGCCCATGCAGTGTATTTGTGTCACAGCTGAAGAACCCCGAGTTTAGGTAATTGAAGTCTCGATGCTGGCAGAAGACATGAGACTCTTGGGTCAGAGACAAAGAACTGCATTATAGTGTAGCTAACAGCATGAGCTTCATGTTTGAGTCAATTCCTCTTGCCCCATAAGTCCACAGCTGTAGAACCCTGAGTTTAGGTAATCCAAATGTTTTATAAAGGGCTACAAGCAAACCTACCCAACCTTACCCTGGAGGGAGTCTTTGTTTTTATTATACCAGACAGTAAACAAACCTGCCCTCTACTCTGGAGGGAGATAAAATCTGTCTTCCCAGGCTGTTTGCTGTACACATATCCTTGAAAAGATAGTTCAGAGCTAAAGCAGCCAACGCCTCTGCTCATAAGACATGCAGAAGCATGCGAGACTCATGGAGAATTGTCTCCCAATGCACTGTACAGGGATTAACATTCTCACTGATGATTGTGAATCAAGAAAAAGAATTTATACCTTGTTTAAGAAGGAACGTGTGTGAAATATTCTTTCCAAATGGTTAAGTCTCTAACCCTTTGGAAAACTCAACTGTCTAGAATAGTTAGATCTCTAAGTCTTATCTACGTTGAGTAGAGAAAACAAATTATGACTTTGTGTATCTGCCCCAAATTGAAGGTCACAAAGGCGGGTCTGTGGAATTGTAGCTGTTGATTTGTCAGTGGGTGGTGTACTCAGGGTGAAAAGCAATCAACAGTTTATTTATTAGAATTGATTATGACCTTTCCTCAGGAAAGGCCAGCTGCTAATGTCATGCAATAAAGCAGTTACAGCATGGAGAAGCACTTGTGCGGTCATCAGATTTAGCCAATGTTTATTTTGCATCTCCTGTGTTATCTAAATACCTAAGGTGGAAGACTATTTTTTTAACCTATCTAAAAATGGTTGAGGTCAAAGACCTTAAAATCGTTCATGAATAAGTTAATACATTGAAAATGTCTTTCTCAAAAGTTTTATGTCAGTGAAAGATGAATAAACTGAATTTTCTAATATATGTAATAGGGCTTTGATTTGAATTGTATAACTAAACACTTGGAAGAGAAAGGCCAACAGGGTTTCAAGTGTTTATTTAATCCTTACATGGTCCTCGTCTATAAATGTATACTTAGTTGAAAAAATTTAAAGCAAATTACTGTTAACTGTTTTTTCTTTTAATTATAATGACCAGCTCTTGGTATTTCGTTTTTGCCAAGATTTATTTTTAGAATAAAATTTTGTTCTCTATCTAAAAGTTTTAAAAAAATATTATGCTTTTGAAGTAGGCCACAGTAGATTAAAATGGAATTATCATTTCACTTTTAGTCATAGTCTTAAATGTGACTTGATTATAATTTGTCGTTCTTACGAACTTTAGTTAAATTGTAATTTTGTATAAAGTTAGTAATTTTCCAAGGTTGAATTCTCTTTAAAACGTGAAAATTTATCATTCACCTACTCAACAGTATGTTAGGTGCTTAGTGTTTTTAAGAAAAGTAATAAAAAAGAATGTAAGTTTTTCCCCCTCCCGCTCTGGCCTTAAACAACACTTTTTTTTTTTTGGTAAAATGACATATTCAGATGATAGTAGTACATAGGATTATTTACTCCAAAATCATTAAGGTGCAATTTCAGAATCATTTGCATATTCAGTGATTTTTGTCTTTGCAGAACTCTTCTTTTTCCTACTTTTATATGTGATCATCTATACCAGTTTAGTTTCCTCACGTACGAGAACAGTAAAATGTATTTTTTATCTTTATTGATTTATTTCAAAAGGAAGGCAAATGGACTCTTTGCCCTATAATATTAGTTCCTAAATATAGAGGAAAATTAAGCATTTAGTGTAATATACACATATATATTTTGTGTGTGGTTAGAACATTACATTTTTGAAAGTTTACCTTTTTCATATGGATAAGACAAGCTTTACAGAAAACCTGATATATGACAATTTTGATTTTACAGTACTTAAATTTAGGGAGTAGATACAACGTTACAAAATATTTTAGTTTTTCAAAATGATTGACCCTTGGAGTCTGTTAAATTTCAAGTCATATCCACCGCTTCTCAGAAACCTGCCTGTTGCAGAAAGGGAAGTCAGCTATCCCTGTGGTTATAGAATCTTCTCCATGTTTACTGCCCTAGTTAGTTGAGTGCTTTCCTACACCTAAAGCTTCCAATACTTAGGTCATTTTGGATTCCATTGTTTTGCAAAGGGGTCAAGAGCATGCTTTCTTCAAATACTGGAAGGTACGTGTACTTTTTCTTTGGTAATACAGTTAGTCCTCATTATTCGCAGATTCTATATTTGTGAATTTGCCTGCTTAGTGAAATTTGTAACCCCCAAAGCAGTCTCAGAGCACTTTCTCAGTCATTCCTTGACACGTGCAGAGCAGTGAAAAATTTAAATCAAGAAAGTTCATGTTCCCAGCTGAAGTCAAACAAGACGGCTTGCTGTCTTCGTGTTTCAGCTCTCAGACTGTAAACAAGTGTCCAGTTTGTGCTCTATTTGGTGCCACGCTTTTCACATTTTTGTGCTTTTTGTTGGTGATTTTGCTGTTTAAGACAGCCCCCAAGCGCGGTGCTGAAGTGCTGTCTCGTTTTCCTAAGTGCACAAAGGCTATGTGTGCCTTACAGAGAAAACATGTGGATTGGATAAGCTTTGCTCAGGCTTGACTTATAATGCTGTTGGCTGTGAGTTCAATGTTAGTGAATCAACAATACATGTTAAATAAGGTGTCTTTAAACAGAAACACACATAAACAAGGTTATGTATTGATTGGCTGATGAAAATGTGACGAGATACACCAGAGGCTCGCAAGAACCTAACCCTGTATTTCCCCAGGAGAAGGAGTTCAGTATTCGTTACTTCAGTGTTCGCAACCACTTTATAAACCATATCCTCTTTGAATAACCGGTATCAGTTGTAGTTACTTTTTTTTTGAGCTGATAAATATCAATCTAAAGTCAACAATCAAGTATTTTGTGTGTATGCATGTTTTGTGTTGATCGTAATGCTGGGCTTCGAGCTTTTATGTACTGTGCCTATTTTTCTCCACAGGAGCCCATCCCAGCTGGTTTACAGCTCTTCAGCTCAGAACTTTGCCATCAGGGGAGGAACCAACTTGGGAGGGAGAGCAGTTGGGCCCTTAGGGAACCTGGCATGCAGCTTTTCTTGGCTTTCCCTGACCATTTCTTGCTGAATTGCCACCTTCCATGTTCACCCTGCTGGGTCCAGGGCCATAAAAAGCAGGCCCGACCTGACCTGGAGGACCAGGGAGTTCTGGTCCAGAGCAAGGGTGATGGGCTGCTTCCATTCTTGGCTCTGATGATACAATGGCTATCTGTCAGGGACCTGGGAGCTCCATGTGATGGGGTTCCTGCGTGGATTTTGTGTTTGTTTTGTATGTTTGTTTTTAAGAGGCTTTTTTTGCTTTGGATATGGATTTTTCTTCATTATCACAAACTAGCTGGTTAAGGTACCAGCCAGAACCGGCTTTTTTTTAGGCAGGAAGGTTTAAAGTCCTTCCTAAGCCCTAGGCACTGTTACTTTTCAAATCCCCACCCTATATCGTATAAAATATACTAAAATGTACCCATATCCTGTATTAAATCTAACATATATAATTATGAATAGAGTTGAGCTGCTGTTGAAATGTTATGTGTTGTAGGTATTTAGTTAAATACTAATTTTGATTTAAAAAACTTTATATTCTGGAGAAATAAGTTTTTTTCCAGGTCTCACACATTGTCCTGGGCACTGGAAAAGCTCATGGACCGTAGATACCGTGGCTGTAGTGCAGGACTGACGTGTCAGTGTGTCCTTAGGCAAGGGAGGAATTCAGGTTTTCCTTAGCCCTTCAGCTGCTCTTCAGTTCTGCAGACATCTATGGGGCTCTGATGTGCCTCAGGCCAGACATGTTGCTGGGTATACAAAAATAAACCACGCAGCGTTCTTTCCCTCAATGACCTTGCAGGCTAGACCCCTGAAACAAATAACTTCAATATGGTATGACAGAGGGGCCTTTAGCTGAGCCTGGGGCAGAGGAGGAGCAGACCTCAAAGATGTCTTGGAGCAGATGGCCCGGGCTGAGTTTTGAAGGATGCCTACATGGTAAGGCGGAAGAGGTGAGGGACAGAGGGAGTTTGGAGAAAAGCCGGGAGTGGAAAGTTGTGGCAGAGGCTTGGAAACAGTGTAGTATGTGTGGGAAACTATGGGCTGTAATTGCTGCTGGAGTGATACATGAAAGGTGGATCGTCATGGTGACAAATACGATCAGAGAGGCAGGGAGAGGCTGAGCATGGAAGGCCCTTTGTGCCGTCTTAGACAAGTTGAGACTCGTTGTGGGTATGTGGCCTGCTTCTGGTGCCTCTGACTGCTGAATTCTTTTTGGATTTATTTGGGATAACTAAATTTCTAACTCTCTTTGTCCTTTATAGTGTTTGATAAGTTCTGTATTGTTTGTTCTTCTTGTCTCTTTTTTCTTAAAAGAAATGGAAATAACTTAGTTTTAAAAATAACTTTGTGTTGGTGCATAACACATACATCAGAAAAATGCAAATATAAGTATACAGGGAAATAGCCTAATTTAAAAACACATAGTCATTATTAAAACATTACACAATACTAAAAATATATAAAACATGTAACAGTCTCTTGGATTTCTACCATTCAGAGATAGCCGCGGCCATATGCAAGTCAGGATCCATATAAGGTCTAAATGTTGCATTGATTGATATGTCTCTTTTAAGTCTCTTCTAATGTATAATCTTCCTCCCCTTCTTTATTTTTTGTGCTGTTTATTTGTTGAAGAAATCAAGTCATTTATTCAGTAGAATTTTCCACAGTCTGAACTTGGCTGATGGCCTCCTTATGGTGTCATTTAACCTGTTCTTCCACACGCCGTCATAGCCCATGAATCAGGAGTTAGATCTGGAGGCTTGATTAATTTGTTAAGGTCGATTAGTAAATTCAGGTGTGGTTAGCCTCTCATGTATCCATTCTAAAGTTTCCCATCAATATTTTACCTAATGATTTTGGCACCCCTTTATGATCATTGCCTACATTCGTTATTTCATTAGGGTTTTCAAAATGATGATTTTTAGCAACTTTTTGTTTTGAGATAATTGTAGATTCACATGCATTTGTAAGAAATAATACAGAGAGATCCTTTATGCCCTTTACCCAGTTTACCCCAGTGGTAATGTCTTGCTTGAGTATAGTCCAGTATCACAGCCAGGGAATTGATGTCGAGACGATCCATGGACCGAATTCAGATTTCACTAGTTTTACATGCACTTGTGTGTGTATGCATGCACATGTATTTAGTTCTATGCACTTGTATCACAAGTGTAGATAAATGTGGGTTAACACTGCAGTCAAGAATCAGAACATTTCCATCACAAGGATCTCTCATGCTACCCTTTTATAGTCACAGCCACCTCCTTCCCTACCTGCTCCCCAACCCTGGCAACACTAATCTTTTCTCCATTTTCATAATTTTGTCATTACAAGATTGACATATAAATGGAATTCTACAGTGTGTAACCTTTTGAGATTGGCTTTTGAAATTCAGTTTAATTCCCTTGAGATCTATCAAGATTGTTATGTGTATCAATAGTTTATTCCTTTTTATTACTGAGTGGTATTTCGTGATATGGATATACCACAGTTTGTTTAACCATTCATGTATTGAAGGACATTTGGGTTTCTAGTTTTGGGGTATTACACATGAATATGCTAGGTTTTTGTGTGAACATAAGTTTTCATTTCTCTGGCATAAATATCCAAGGATGCAGTTGCTGGGTCATATGATAAGCACATGCTGAGTTTTGTAAGAAACTGCCATATTCTTTTCCAGAGTGGTCATACCCTTCTGCATTCCCACCAGCAATGAACGAGAGATCTAGTTTCTCTGTACCCTTACCAACATTTGGTGTTATCACTGTGTTTTATTTTAGCCATTCTGATAGGTGTGTAAATCATGATTTTTAAATTCTATCATTCTTTCAGTGCTTTTTAGCTGTAATTCTTCCATAAAGAAGAACTTTTCTTCATGCCATTTGGCAACCTTGAAATATAGTCTGTATAAGAAAGGCATAAAATATTTGATTATTTTTCTCATTTCAATGCTCCCTACCCCCCCACCTTGTAAGCCAATTTTCAGAAAAACAAGTAAGTGCTCCATTGGCTTCCAGAGTGACCAATTGGCTTTTTAAAAAGTATCGTTATGAACTCATGGATTTTAAAAATATTTGATGTGATTATATTCTCAGGGTAGATTATTAGAAATTACCATGTCAAAGGATAGGCAAATTTAAAATTTTGATACAGATTACCCCACCCCCCTCCAGAAAGGCTGTGCCATTTTATGTTCTTAACAATACTATATAAAAATGTTTAGTTCTCCACATCTTTGCCAACACTGGTTTGGCCAGTTTTTAATTTTTAAAAATTTTATCAATATGATGGCAAAATTGATATCTTACTGTTTCTATTTGCAGTTCTTTAGTTACTGAAGTTGATCATCTTTTCACATTATTGACTTTTAAAAAATTTGCCAATTGCCCATTAATTACCTTTACCCATGTTTCTATTAGGGAGGGTATTGGTCTTTTCGTACATTTCCATGTTGTTATACCTATCAACCTTTTCCTTGACGGTTCCTGATTTTTATTTGCTTAGAAAGGTCTTTCCTACATTAAGATTATAAAAATATATACCCATTTTTCCAGTGCCTCTCTATGATTTTGCAGTTAAATTTAAATGTTTGGTCCATATATGGTTTATTTTTATATAAAGATGAGGTAAGAATGTAGCGTTACTTTTTTCCAAATGTCTGCCCAGTTGTCCCAATCCCATTTATTAACTAAACTATCTTTTCCCCACTAACGTGAAATGCCGCTTTTATCTTGTACTAAATTCTCTAATCTTTAGTCTATTTCTGAGTTTTCTATTGTATTCCACTGCTTTTGTCAGTTTATTCCTGCTTCAGTATCACAGCTTAAATTACTCTAGTTTGATAGTCCTTTAAAATTTTTGTTATTGGATTTTGTAGATATGTGAAAATCACATAAGCTTATTCATGTATTTCTATTATACGTCTGACTGTTGCTTTGTAATATATTTTAATAATTGGTGCACTAGTCTCTTTTTTCTTTTTTTATGACTGCTGACTAAGCTCACAAATGTATTCTTCCAGATGGATTTTAGAAATATTTGTGACAACTTCCCCAAACTACTCTTTTATATTTTGATTGGGATTTTATTCAATTTATAGACTAATTTAGGGAGAATTGATTTCTTCATGGCTTTGAGCCTTCATAATTAAGAACATAGTTTGTCATTTAATATATTTAAATCTTTTTTCAGGTCCTTGAATATTTTTTGCTAATTTATCCCTAAGTTTGTTTTTGGTTTCTCTGTCCCTTCATTTGAAGAATGCCTTTTAAACTTGATCAGATCAAACCTTCTGGGAAAATGTCACATTTATAGTCCATAATATTGGCTTTCTAAGCTGTCTCTTTAGTATGTCCGTTTCCCTAGACTAACAAGCTGTATTTCCCACAGTCCTTAAGGCAAATGAGATCATGGTTTCATTCTGATAGTAGCTATTATTGTTTAGTTACTGAGGATAAATTATAACAAATTTCTGATGAGGATGACAATACATTGTTGACCAAAATTAGACATTAATGCAAATTTGGATTTGTAAATTGAAAACTTCCTCTATTTAAGTACAGCATTTGGGCAGCATTTTATTAAGTGAAAAAAACAAACCTACAATTATAAAAGTTTCGTAATGCATGCATGTGCCAGCCTGCCCAGCCTCCTTGGTTAGGTCATTTACATGATTTATTTCACTGCACCTGGGAATCTACTATCTTTATCTGCTCCCTACATCAGCTGTCTTTATGCCCAGACCTATTTTATCCCGAGTTGACTGTTGATAAAAGCAGCTACTATTTATTGAGATCCTACTATGTGAGATCCAACTGTGTGGTGGCTAAGAGGTACAATTGATATTTAATCTGATTTGATATTGACACATATTGATCTGTCCGGCTCTGAACTCTTTGGGAACTTGGATGGCAGTATAGGGCTTTCCAGCATGCGTGGGTGTATGTGTCTGGGTGTGCTTTGGAGGACTTCTTTGTTGTTTTGGGGGCTAGGTGAGAGGAGGAAGTCATCATAATTTTAACAAACCTGTTAACACTGCTTGTAAAATACAGAAGAGTTTTATTTTATTTTTTTATTTTTTATTTTTTTTTTAATTTTATGTATTTATTTTTTTCCCCCCAAAGCCCCAGTAGATAGTTGTATGTCATAGCTGTACATCCTTCTAGTTGCTGTATGTGGGACGCGGCCTCAGCATGGCCGGAGAAGCGGCGCGTCAGTGCGCACCTGGGATCCGAACCCGGGCCGCCAGCAGCGGAGCGCGCACACTTAACCGCTAAGCCACGGGGCCGGCCCCAGAAGAGTTTTATAATATTCCTTTCTCAAGAGATAGTCTTTATTAAGTACCTCAGTATATTTTAAATTGTAATTTTGTAGGTGTCTGGTGAACTGCTGCTACTTAGTGGATTCTGGGATCAGAATTTTTGGGGAGTATTGTAAACGAGATTTAATAAGAAATAGTGTAATAGCTACTATTGAAATTATCAAAAGACTTGTTAATTTAAGTTCATTAACCACTAAACAAGATTATAAGTTGAATCCTTATCTTATTTTAGAGAGAAAAAGTATTTTCAGTTTCTTAAGAACCATCCATTTAATTATAAGCAGTATGCTAATTAAAATTACAAATTATTTTATGCATTAAAACAGCTTGAATCTTTGCTTTTCATACATAATGTGCTATGTATTCTCTCAAACTTAGTAAAATATTTGTGTAAGCATTCTGTGATTCAGAGAGACTTCCTAGGCCAAATTAGTTTGGCTTGTTTTTGTATATTATAAAATATTCTAGACACACTAAAAGGCATAAAGAATAATATACTATCCGTATACCTAATATTCTGCTTAAGACATAAAATGCTACCAAGATAATTAAAGTGCCTGTGTACTTCTCCCTAATTGCATAATCCTTCCTTTTCCTTGGAGATAACAATCCTTTCCTTTTCCTCCTTTTAAACATAATAAAAGCTATGCTTTTTTTAGTTTCGTGAGGAAGATCAGCCCTGAGCTAACATCTGCCAATCCTCCTCTTTTTGCTGAGGAAGACTGGCCGTGGGCTAACATCCATGCCCATCTTCCTCCACTTTATATAGGAGGCCGCCATAGCATGGCTTGCCAAGCAGTGCATCGACGCGAGCCCTGGATCCGAACCGGTGAACCCCCGGCCGCCGCAGTGGAGTGTGCACACTTAACTGCTTGCGCCACCAGGCTGGCCTCTAAAAGAGATGCTTTTGAACTTTGTATAAATGATAGAGTACGGCTGATTCTTTTGCAACTTGCTTTTTTTTCATTCATCATAATATTTTTGAGATTCCTCTGTGTTGGTGTGTATAGTTCTAGTCCATTCATTTTTGCTGCTTGTACTATTTATTCCATTGTATGAGTATGCCATAATTTACTTATCTGTTCTTCTTTTGATGGACATTTAGTTGTTTCTTGTTTTTGCAATTAACAAACCGTATTACTATTAATGTTCTGTTGCAGTTCTTCTTGTGCACATATGTGAGAGCTTCCCTAGGGTACCTATCTATGAGTGAGATTGCTGGATCGAAAGGTATGTGTATCTTCAGCTTTACTAAATATTGCCAAATTGTCTCCAAAAGTAGTACCCGTTTGGATGCCCACCTTCACTGGTTAAATTCTTGTTATTCTACACTCTTGCCAACCCTAGATATTGTCAGACTTTTAAATTTGTCAGTTTGATGAGTGATATATCTCATTGTTATTTTGAATTTCTCTGATTACTAGTGAAGTTGGATATCTTATGTTTATTAGTATTACAGGTATTTTTTCCTAGTACTTATTGTATATTATGGCTGAAAGTTGTATGCAAAGTTGAAAGTAGCATGAAGTAGTTACCACTAAATAGAAATATACCATAATTTTATCTTTAAAACATTGGCAACTTTGTGGATTTTTTGGAGGAAGTAATTTGGAGTGATTTTCCGATAGTATATTAGAGAGAGCATGGATTTTGGATTTAAATTGATGCTTAAATCCTGGCTCCATTGTCTGTCAGCTTTAACCTTGGGCAATTTGTGCAATCTCTCTGAGTCTGTTTCCTCATCTTAAAATGAATATAATACCTCATGGTTTGGTGATAGAATTAACCAAGATAAACATCAACACCTGGCACATAGGATTAGTACGTAGTTTTAGGATGAAATAAACATACACAAATTAAACAGTAGTATGAAAGATGGCATATAATTAAATCAGTCCTGAAATCTGGCAGCATTTGTGAGATTGCAGTTCGACCTGTTGATAGTTGACTCTAATATAAACAAACATACTTCATCTCAGGGCCAGGTGAGGAGACCACTGGCCTCGCAAATCCAAAGCGGTCAGGTGTATGCCATGTGTCTGTGTTTGGCAACCCTGCTTCTCCTTATGCCCGCCCCCGCCCCCCATGTCACCTGTGTTCATCTTTTGTGCCTTGTCAGTTTTCTGCCGGTCAGAACATCAGTGACTGACAAAGCTGTCCGAGATCACAGTGGATAGGTGGAAGTGACCTTGGGACCTTGTGGGAGCCCCAGTATCTGGCCTGGGTTTGGGGACTCTGTCAGTAACCATACAGTGTGGGAGAGATGGGCTGGGTACCAGAGAGCTGATGGCGTAAATGCAGGCTTGTAGATAATCCTGAGTTAATGTTATTTAGCCTGTTCTCATCTCCCTTGCCACAGGAGTTTCTTCACATGGCTTCCGAAGAAGTGACCGTTACAGTTCGCCTCATTCGTTCCTTTGAGCATCGCAATTTCAAACCTGTAGTATATCACGGAGTTAATTTGGATCAAACTGTAAAGGAATTTATAGTATTTCTAAAGCAAGGTATGAGATGTCTTAGTCATTTTGTTTTATTAGTATTTTGAAAAAACAGTTGACTATTACATTGTTAGTAATCTTTTAAAAATACTTTGAAAGATAGTAATCTAGGTTTTAAGCCTGATGCTAGGCTAGTTCCTGTTCTGGTCCTTGGCATCAGCAAAAGTGTCTCCCCAAGGCTCATTTAGCAATGTGTGTGCTCTCATCAGGGATTGTTGCCATCATGTTTGGCTTCTCCTTTTTTTTTCTTTTTTAATTAAAAAATTTTAAGGTCTGGGTTTGCTTGTAACAGGCCTAGGTGTTTCGAGGTTGATTAATAAGGGAGTGTAGCATAGCTAGTTGTGTTACTGGCCGAGCACACAGAGGGCCTCATGGGGAGCATGACAGGAAGGTGGCAGGCTCTGTCTGTACAGCCAGGAAATCATGAGAGCTGCTGGTCATTGCGGTCACAGAAATGACAACCAGACTAACTGGTGATAGTTTATCATTTCAAGCTTAAAAAACAGTAGGCGTGAAGTTAGTCTTCATTTTAATAAGTCCTTGATGAGTTTCTAACCTCTGTTTTTTGTTTTTTTTTTTTAAATTGGATAGATTTGACATGTAACATTGTAAATTTAAGGTGTACATCGGGTTACTTTGATACATTTATATGTATTTTATTTATAATATGGTTGCCGTTGTAAGGATATTTATTGCTTTACATGCTTATAGTATGGACAAGATTAGGACAAGATTATTGTCCATGTTCAATAAACTGTGTATTAAATATCTATGGCTATTTTAGTCTTAGTTACAAGTGTGTACCCTTAAATACCATCAGTCTTATCCCCCCAACCCCCTTAACCTCTGTTTTTAATTATTGAAGTGTTCCAATCATCAACATTTGATAAAACATAGAATAAGCTTTTATTATTTTAATTGAAGTGTAATTTACATATGGTATAATGTATAGATCTTAGTGTACAGTTACATGAATTTTGACAAATTTATCACTTTTTAGCCAATTTAATTTTTTTTATACTGACATAATTTCAGACACAGAAAAGTTGCAGAAACAAGACAAAGAATTCCTAGATGCTCTTCACACAGATTCCCAAAATGTCATCATTTTGTTACATGTGTTTTTTTTTAAGTGTTCTCACTCTTTGTTGTTTTTTTGTTTTGTTTTGTTTGTTTATTTATTTATTTATTTATTTATTTTGTGAGGAAGATGAGCCCTGAGCTAACATCTTTTTGCTGAGGAACACTGGCCCTGGGCTAACATCTGTGCCCATCTTCCTCCACGTTTTTTATATGGGACGCTGCCACAGCATGGCCTGACAAGCTGTGCCTTGGTGCGTGCATTTAACCACTACGCCACGGGCCGGCCCTGTTACATTTGTTTTATTCCCTCCTCCACTCTCCCTGTCTCTCCTTTTCTTCCCCCTTTCCTCTCATCCTCTCCTTACCCCTGCCCCCCATTTTTTTCTTTCCGAACCATTTAGAAGTATGTTACTGATATGATGATTCTCCTTTATCTCTGAATATTTCAGTGTGTGTTCCCTAAAAATAAGGAATTCTCTTATATAAATCACAGGACAATGATGAAAATCAGGAACTTCACATTGAAACAATACTATTGTCTAATTCATAGACTTTATTGAGATTTTAATTGTCCCAATAAGGTCTTTTGTGACAAAAGAAAATCCAAGGTCACATGTTATGTTCTTTCTTGAATCTGAAATTAATTTCTTCAATCTGGAGTCTTTTATTATATTTCATCACATTGGCAGTTTTGAATAGTGCAGGCTAGTTATTTTGTAGAATGCCCCTCCATTGGGTTTTTCTCATGTTTTCTCACCATTAGATTTAGGTTATGCCTTTTGGCAGAGCAATCATAGACCTGATGCTGACGTCTCAGTGCATCCCACCAGGAGGCACGTGCTGTCGACTAGCCCCGTTACTGGCTATGGTAACAGTGATGAGTTGGTTAAGGGGTGTCTGCCAGGTTTTTCCACTGTAAATTTTAATTGTAATTGAAAAGTAACTTGTAGGGGTATATATTGAGACTATGTGAATATCTTGTTACTTCTCAAACTTTCATCCACTAGTTTAGCATTGTTGGATGTTCTTGCCTAAATCAATTATGATGATTGGCAAATGGCGATTTTCCTTATTCCATCATTCCTTTTACATATGTTAGTTGTTTTTCTACAATAAAGAATTTATTTAATTATTTAATTATTTAGTCATTTGTTTATATCACTGTGGGCTCAAGGATTCTTATTTATTCAAAGGATTATATTTCTTTACAATCATTATTTATTTTGATGCTCCAGTTATCCCCATTTTGGCTAGTTGTAGCCCCTTCAGTCTAGCTTGTGTCCTTTTAACACGTCCCCATCATTCTTTGAGCACCCCCTTACTTTGTGGTACAGCAAGATGTTCCAGACTTTTCCTTGCCCCAGGCCTGGGATCAGCCATTTCTCTGAGGAGCTCTGATTCCCTTACTAGAGAGTCGTACTGGGAAACCAAGATTTTGGTTTATAGATGTGCAATGTAAGTGTGTATAGCTAGCTTTTTAAAATGTAGTGAATTCTTGACATTTTACTTCCTGATTGGCTTTGTAAATTTTCTAAACTCTTCTCCCTCACTTTTTTTTTTTCTCTAATTTTGGGTAGTTTTACTGCTCAGTATTACCTGAGTAAGGAGTAAGTGAGGTATATAGACCTATAGAGAAGACAGACTAGTCAGTCTCCTTGGTGGTGACTATAAAAGATTTTATAAGAACATAATTATTCCTTACGGTAACTATAGGCTTACATACAGAGTATATATTTTTATTGCTGTGTTCTTAACTGTTAGGGGGAGATTGAGAGTTGGTACTAAGATATTGCCAATTACAGTGTCCTGCTTTTGAAAGTATGTCACCAAAAGCATATTCAAGTTTGGAAATAAAAACAAATCCCTACATATTTTATTTTAAAATCTTATATGTGTATTATAAGTTACAGTGTGTCTTAGTGTAGATACAGTAAGTGCTGTGATGTCCTTGGTACAGGGCGGAATAGGTTCTTCCTGAAGTCCTTGAGGATCAGATGTAATCTTTGAGCAGCTAAGGTGGCAGGGGAAGATGTATTGTCCCCTCCCCACCGTGAGTCCCTTTCTCCCTGGGTCCCATGGACTGCCCTCCCCGTGAGAGCAGTGGTATGGATTACAGCCAGATGTTCAGCCCTGCCTACTCACATCCTTCACCTGTGTTAGTAATAATATAGCTACTACTCATTTCCGTTGTGCATGTGGGAAATGTGTTCCAGTGACTAAAAGGTGAACTTTTGGGGTACAGACTTTTTTGAGTTGTGGGCTCTGTGCCCAAGCCTATCTTTGTCATCTGATTTGAGATACTGTGGAACTCTGGAAAGTTGGTGAATGAAGGTGAATTCGTATTTACCTTTTGTGAATTGTGTACATAGCAAAGACCAAATAGTTTATTACTGAGGAATTTTTAAAGTAATACTAATAATAGTGAACATTACTATGGGTACTGTGCTAAGAACTTTAACTAGATAATCTCATTTGATTCTCACAGCATCCCTGTAAATTAGGAACGGTTATTATCCCCGTTTTACATGTGAAGAAATTAAGGAACAGAGAGGTTAAGTAACTTGCCTGAGCTGACTTGGCTGAATTTTGCACACAGATAGAAATGGTCATTGTGGTGAATGATCTTTGGGGGTTATTTTAGATGCCTTCTTGCCTGTCTGTCCTTCTCTTATCGTAGTCACTTTTTGCCACCCATAGCTTAACCTAGTCACCTGCCATAATTGTTTGTATTTTTCCCTCAGCCAAGAAATTTGATTAATTTGGTTAAATTTGATTCATTCTCCATTGAGAATCACTGTACCACAACATCATGCCATTAAAACCTAAAGTTGTACAAATATAATAAATATAAACTCATATTTATAAATATAAATATAATAAATATATGATTATATATAAATATGATAAATAAAATAAACCTATTGTTAACATATGAGGAACGGGTGTTAATCAAATATTCTGATCACAGAGGTACCATATATATATATTACCTTATATAGATGACTAATTTTTTAGATTCAGGCTAGTATACAAACCAGTTATCTAGATAGTATAAGACATTTTAATTATTCTTTGATTTGGAAGCATTTTGATACTTTGTAATACTTCAGATCTTGCTTCTGAATGTAAAATCATTTCACCTATGAAAAAGAAGAAAGCTGTGGAAGTTTTTTCCAACCTTCCAGTTCAGAATTCCTTCTTTATACTCTGTTACTTCTGGTTATATGTGTGTTTGTAAAGCAATCTATTCTATTGGGTGAATACTAGAATAGTTAGAAAGATTTTCTTTACATCTTTTTTATCTTTATATGTTTCTTTATATCTAATGCTCCCCTTCACAATTTCCCCTATTGTTAGCATCTTACATTACTGTGCTACATTTATTGCAATTAATGAATCAGTATTGATGCATTGTAACTAGAGTCCATAGTTTATTCAGATTTCCTTAGTTTTTACCTAATGTCTTTTTTCTGTTCCAGGATCCCTTCTAGGATGCCACATTACATTTAGTTGTCATGTCTCCTTAGGCTCCTGTGGGCTGTGACAATTTCTCAGATTTTCCCTGTTTGATAACTTTGATAGTTTTGAGGCGTATTGGTCAGGCCTATTGTAGGATGCTCCTCTATTGGAATTTGCCTGATGCTTTTCTCTTGATTGGACTGGGGTGATGGGTTTTTGAGAGGAAGATCACAAACATAAAGTGATACTCTTTGTGTGTGTGTGTGTATGAGGAAGATTAGCCCTGAGCTAATATCCCTTGCCAATCCTCCTCTTTTTGCTGAGGAAGATTGGCCCTGGGCTAACATCTGTGCCCATCTTCCTCTACTTCATATGGGGCACGACCTGCCACAGTGTGGCTTGATAAGCGGTGCATGGGTCTGCACCCAGGATCCGAACCTGCGAACCCCGGGCTGCCAAAGCGG